CCCAGGGCCGACCAGGGTTCGAGTCCTGAATATGGTGGCTTGCTTTCTCACTTCCTCTCTCTTTCACTCTCATCCTCCGTGTCTCTCTGGTCAAATTAAAAAGTAAATGAATGAATAAATAAAATAATTATAAAAAAATTTCTGAGAGGAAAAAGTAGAGTGAGAGAAAGAAAGACTGCATGTGAGCAAGAGTGCAGGAGGGAGAAACAGAAATAGGTATTCTTTTGACAGGGTCTTGCCACAGTGCCATCTCTCTACCCTAAACTCCCAGTTAGCAGGACCACAAGCACATACCACCACACCTGGCCTGCTTAGGTTGGCCAAGAACTAAGCCCAGGCGGGCCATGTAGCTCAGCCACCGCACGGTGGCGCCTTCCTACATGCACCACAGCAGCTGGGCTGTTACCAAGTTCTTGATGCACTCTGCATGTGAGTCCTATATTGGATGTAGGATTTGAAAGTATTTTCTCATTGAGAAGTAAGTCTATGACTTATCTTTTCATTCTTTAAATGGTGGTAACAGATTTTTAACTATCTCTTTATCCATTCACTCGCTGACGGTCCCCAGGCTTGTTTATAGTTTCGAACTTTACAAATAAAGCAGCTATGAACATGAACATTCCTACCGAACACTTATGTTCTCATGTGTTGTGAGTAAATACTTAGGAAAAGAACTGGTAGGTTGCATGGTAAATATATGTCTACTATATATCAATTGTCACACTGTTGACCAAAGTGCTTGCACTATCTCACACTCTCACAATCAGTGAATGAAGAGAACCAATTTTTCCATATTTTCTCCATAAATGTTTTATATTTTAGTCATTTGAGTTTGCACTAATCTCGCATTTTTGTTTGATTTTTTTTATTACAGAAAATACAAGTCATTGTTATCAAGTAATCATTTGCAAGTGATAACCATTCAGTGACATAAAATATATTTATGTACTATTTACATATCACTATTATTTATGCCCTATACTCAAAGGTTTTCATCACTCTCATAATAAACCTTGTATCTATTAAATAATAACTCCCTCTAGCCCTCTCTCCAACCTCCAGTAACTTCTACTCTGCTTTCTGTCTCTAAGAATTTTTTTCTTTTTGTGGGGAGAGATTTTTACCATAGGGTATGTGCAATCACTGGAGAGACAGAGAAACAGAAAGTGAGAAATCACCTCCCATGATGATTGCCACACTGCAATCCCTTCTCCTCCATTCTCGTCTCAGGATTTTGGGCATACACGCACACATACCTATTGTGAATTTCAAGCCCCTGGATCTGGGATTCAAGTCACAGTCGGCCATGTACAAGTCCAGTGATGTACCCACTACACCATCTGCTGGTCCCTCTATGAATTTTCTTATTGTAGATACCTCAACCAAGTGAAATTATACTATATTAGTCTTTCTGTATCAAGTTTATATCACTAAGCATGATGTTTCCAAGGTCCATCTACTTTCTCATATATATATATCAACATTTCATTCCTTTTTACAATTAAAAAGTATTCATATATACAGCACACTTTGTTATCCAATCATCTGCTCCTGGACACTAGGGCTGCTTCCACATCTTGGCTATTGTGAGTAATGAACACTGGTATATAGATACCTGTTTGAGTCTCTGCTTTCAATTGTTTTGGACACATCTCTAAGAGTAGAATTTTGGGGTTGTAATAATGTTTGTTTATGCATTTTAGTTTGTTATAGGGTGCATGTACTTGCTGGAGAGAGACAGAGAGAAAAAGAGAGAGGGAAAGTGAGAAATCACCCCCAGGGGGATGGTCATGCTTCAATCCCATCTCTATTCTCCTCTTGGGATTTTGGGCATGCATGCACATGTACCTGGTGTGTCTTTAAGCTGCGAGTTCTGGAACTCAAACCACACAGTCAGTATGGGATCCAGTCACCTTGACTTCCATGCCACCTGCTGCCTGCCCCTCCCCCCACCACATTTAACTTTCACTCTAACTGTGGTATTAAGAAGTAGGACATTTAGAAGGTAATATGCTTCAGATAAGGTCATCATGGTGGGGCCCATGCCTAAATACAGGAGGCTTTACAAGAAGAGAGATCAGAGCTGATACATGCTCTTCTTTTCTCATTATGTGAGACCCTGTGCTACCGTGGCACTCTGCGGTCTCCACCAGCAAGAGACCTAGACCACATGAAACCCCTTGGCCTTGGACCTCCAGAACTGTACTGAACAAACCTTTATTCCTTTTTTTTTTTTTTTTTAAAGTTTGTCAGAGGGTTCACATACTCACTGAAAACTGTGGTCATGCCACAATCCTTCTCCCTCCATTTCTTCATCCTGTCAGAATTTGGGGCATGCATATGTTCATGCTTTGTGTGTTTTTCAAGCTGCTGAAGCCAGAGTTCAAACCACACCATGGGCCATGTGGGATCTGGCTCCCTTAATGGGCCCTTATTCTTTATAAATTATCTAATCTGTGGTATTCAGCTATAGCAAAAACAAAACAAAACAAGACTAAAATAGCTATCTTACTGGGTATGAAGTGGTTTTTATTTGCATTTCCCTCTTGACTGATACAGCTGAGCATCTTTTCATGTGTTTATTGGTCAGCTGTGTATCTTCTTTGCAGAAATTTCTACTCAAGTCCTATGACCATCTTTGAATTGTGTGTGTGCATGCATGTGTGTGTGTTTTAACTGCTAGAGGGCATGTGTGCTCATCTGAAAGAATCAAAAAGAGAAGAGAGAGAGAGAGGGAAAGCTTCCCCCTAACGAGACACAGGCATGCCACAATCCTTTTTCTCCCATTTCTCTATCCTTCTAGGATTTTAAGCACACAGGCTCCCCAGGGCCAGGATCTGAACTTCAGTAGGCCATGTGGGATCTGGGATCTGTCTCCCTTAACCACTAGGCCATGGGCCTGGCCTTGAATTATTTCTGTTTTGTTGTTGAGTTCATTATACATTCTAGATATTAGTCCTGTATCAGAGATATTATTTGCAATTGTTTTTACTTACTCAGAAGGCTGTCTTTTTGCTTTGACATTCATAAAAGTTCTTCATTTTAAGCGAGTCCAACCTATCTACTTTTTCTTAGTTGCTTATGCTGTTAGTGTCATATTTAAAACATCATTGGCAAATCCAGTGTCAAGAAAGTTATCCCCAATGTTTTCTTCTAAGAATTTTATAGTTTATATTAAAGGTTTGATGAAAAGGATTCCTAAAGGCTGAGAGTAAAGACTATTTCTGATAGAGCTTTAATTGGCAATAACTTCACGAAACATATTAAAGTCTCTCAGTCCCCAGATTCTCTTGGTTAATGATTTGTTAAAAAACGAAATGCTCACAAACGAAAACAACTCTGAATTCTCTCACAGGGTGAAGAAATATTTGTCATGTGATTAATTGCCTTTTAATTTGTCTGAATCTATTTGATTTGTTTAGTCTAGATTTTGGAATATTATGTTTCTTAAAATAAGTCTTATGTGCATGTCAAATATCTGTTGCATTGTAAATATCCTGATTGTGTGTATGCAAAGATACACATGTGCATGTGCACACACGGAGTGAGGGGCAGAGCAGGGGCAGGCTAGCACAAGAGCACACACTCGCACCGTGCATGTTCTCTCACAGAGTGAGCCACCCCAGGGTAGATGCAATGGCTGCTCGCTCCTTTGTGTTCCCTGCTGTACATGGAGGGCTTTGTACCTAATGGGTACGTGAAAACTGTCACACGGTTTGCTTACTGCCCTGAGAGAGAAAAAAAAAAATTGAGAGAATTGAGAAAAGAATAATTCAAAAAAGAAAGTTCGAAAAAACTCACTGATTTTCCATGCATTCTTCTAAAATAATCTCTCACACAGAATGCAATCACAACTATGAACATGCGGTTCCTATGAATTATACAGTTTTCCTCTCATAACCAAACTGATACATTTTGAAACTTGAGAAGAGGGATGTTTAGTTTAACACCTACCGCCTCTGAGTGTTAAATCCATTAAGATGATTCTCTCTGAGTTCAGACACTAATGATAAAACCATCTGTAAAACAAAATCAGTTGCAGGTTAACTCACAATGCAAACAGGATTACATCAGTTCTATTTTTCTTGCTGTGAGTGATATTTCCGCTGAGATCCCTCCCCCCATCCTCTCAGTATGTTTTACTTTGTCAGAGTGGAAGAAAAGCAGTGGGAGCCACATTTACAAATAAATGGGATTTCATATTTTATGTTCGTTATGCCGCATTCTGATTTAGGTAATTAACAATGGGCAGATCATTAATTTCTAAAGAATTAAAACCAAATCCATTAAAAAATGAACAAAACCATGTTGGAAGTAGTCTATCCCATTTTTCTTAATTTAGGTCTTTATTTTATACAACACTTTTCATGTATGCAGCTTTCAAAAGGCCAGGATGGTCAACAAACATAAAAAAAATTTCATAACATGTTTTAGAAGAGTTCTGTCAAAATCATAAATGACAGTTTTTTAAATTTGCCAAAAATTTAAGGCAAAAGAAAACAGGTCTAAGATTAAAATATAAATATGTAACATTATTTACTGAGTTATTTTCTGAATTTTTTTCTTTGCATGAACATAAAATTCCAAATATGTTATTTTAAATATAAGATTGGGCCAAAGCACGGCATGGTGGTTAAGGGAGCTGGAGCCCATATGGCTCACTGTGTGCTTCAAGTCCTGGACCCGGTGGCCTGAAAAACATACTAGGCAAATGTGTGTGGGTACCCCAAGTCCCAAAAGGAGAAATGGTGAAAAAGGGGTTGCAGCACGGACATCCCCCTGCGTGGTGCTTTCTTACCCACCCACCCCCACCTTGGTGAGCATATGCCCCTTCTAGTCAACTTTAAATTTTTTATTTTTTTGGCTTAAAGTAAGATTTATCCAATAGTACAGGACTGTGTTTATAACTGATTAAGGAAAGCTCTTCTCTCAAAAATCTTCGAGTGAATACGTGAGATGTCCTGGGGGAGGGGGCAGTGATTGGTGGATTTAATAAAACCTTTCCTGGTTTCCTTCTTATTTCTCATAACCTCCCACCTCACACTTCTTCCTTATACGGCCGTAAGTCCACCCAATGTAAGAAGGGATAAACACAGAAAGTTAAACATCACTTCTAGAGAAGTGAAATATTTCCATTTACCTTTTTTGCTGACAGTACATTTAGCAATGGAAATTTAAACACTAATAAATTAAAAATACTCACATTTTTAAGCAAACCAGGATGGTAATCTGTAGGTGCATACCCAAGACATTCAGTAAAAAGGCCAACTTCTTTTATATTGAATCTAAATGCTGAGAGTATATGAGATAACAAACCCTAGAAAGCATTAACAGAATTAGTTAGCTTCTTGAAAGTAAACACGAGTGCCTGTTACGAACAATGTCTAGAATCTCAGTCATTTTTAAATGGTTTCCAAAGGAAACCTGTAGTATCACCTTGTCCAAGCACCCAGCTCCCTTTAAGGTATAAAGAGGAGATAAGTTGGAATGAAACCAGTCAAAGGCCAGTCCCGCAGTGTAGCAGTAACGCACTGCACACACTAACCCAGATCCCTCATGGTTGACTGCTGTAGGATTGCAGGCCCCAACATCTCAGGAGTGAGTGCGTGTATGTCCAGGATCTGGAGAGGAAGAGAAAAAACATGCCCCATGGAGGGTGATTTTTCTCTCTCTCTCCTTCACAAACAAGTACACTCTGGCATAAGATAAGATAATAAATTATAATAATAAAAAAGCACATGAGAAATAATTCAATTTAAACAAATGTTAATGAAACAAAAATATATAATAAATAATGCTTTAACCACAATAAGATTAGGATCTTTATTAATATTATTTTTAAGAGAGATTTTTTTTTTTTTTTGCAAGAGGGCACATGTGCTTGCTGGGGAAACAGAGAGAGACAGAAAGTGAGAAATCACCCCTGGGGAACAGACATGCCGCAATCCCTTCTAGTCCATTCTCTTATCGAGATTTTGGGCACACATGCACACATGCCTGGCATGAGTTTGAAGCCACTGGGTCCAGGACTTGAACCACTGTCGACCATGTGGGAATCCAGTGAGATAACCATTATGCCAACTGCTGGTACCATTTATTGTTTTAAAATTTAGTGAAATATATTCATCAGAGTAAACATGAGAATTAAATACAAGACAAAGAATCCACCATAAATCAGTACGGACAGGTTATGCAGTAAATGGTGCCTGGGAAACTATTTGAAAAGAGAAAAAACATTCTCACCTTACATTATCCATCAAAATATATTCAAGTTAGATAAATTTACGAATGCAATGTAAAAATTAAATAAAATAATAAGCAAGAAGAAAAGTGTGTATTTCAAGACAGAGGAATGAGGAAGAAATCTGTAACCTGAAAATTGAGGGGATGGCTCTTTTTTTTTTCTTTCTTTTCTTTTCTTTTTTTTTTTTTTTT